GGAACTGAAGACTCGCTCTAAGTACATGAACACTGACTCGCTCAGTTGTAGTAACCATTTCACAGCGTTTATAGGCCTCAAACTGTAATGTTGTACACCTTAAACAGATGATTTTATTCGTCAATGATCTCAACAAAAAATGAAAGTAAATAAATAAAGGAAATTTAAAAAGGAAGCAGGCTGCGGATGTGACTCAGTGGTAGGGTACTTGCTTAGCATGTCTGAGGTCCTCGGCTCAGTCCCCAGCACCACAGATAAAATTTTGCTTGCTGTGGTGGTGCACGCCAGTAGTCCCAGCACTCTAGGAGGCTGAGGCAGGAGAATCACAAGGTCAATCACAGACCCGGCAACTGATCAAGTTATTGAAACCCCATCTCAAAATAAAAAACACAAAAGGATTGGGGGATGTGGCTCTGTGTGAAGGCCCTGGGTTCAATCCCCAGTTCCACCAAGAAAAAAAAAAAATCCAATCTGACTTGGCAGGATTTTCGCTGAGCTACACTCTCCTTTCCAGTCCAGCGCAGTAAGAGACAAGGAGCTCCTCTGAGTCTAGGGCGGCCCTTTTCGGCCAGCTCTGGAATCAACACCTCACTCAGGACACAGTGAGGTCCTCCTCCACTGCTGCGAACACGATATCCTGGGCAGAATGTTTAAGCCGAGTCCACACGACCAGCTCAGCACTGATAGCGCGGCCCTTGTCTTATCGCTGTCGGTCAGAACTCGCTGACCTCTGAGCAGCAAGGCTCCGGCCTTCACCCCAATGGGCAAAGCTGCAGCGGGGGCAGGACGGGGGACGCAGCCCAAGTCACCAAGGACGGGAAGGGGACCTGTGTGGTCTACAGGTTCTCTGCCCACGGCCCTGCAGATGAAGAAGCGGGCTTCAGGGTGTGAGGCCTACAGGAGCGGGACAGACGGGCCAGGCGCCTGCCCGTGGGGCACCCTCTGGGCCTGGCTGACTGGGGCTCCGTCAGGTCCTCCCACTCCTGGCCAGCCTGGCGCTCGGTCCCCAGCCTTCCTGGAAATGCTGGCTCTGCGCGCCCCGTGTTGATTGAAAGATTAAGCACTGTGGACTCACTGCTTCTCGGTGTTTGGGGTAGGGTTAGGGTGTGATTGGCCACCCCAGTGTGGCGCAGAGGGCACGCAGTCATAGGTCGCAAGAGGAATGGCTCTGGGCTTGGTCCCTGCACTTCCATCGAGAAGTCTGTGGGACAGGTCAGCAATACTGGGGATTGATGCCAGGCGTGCTGGCGCAAGCCTGTCATCCCAGCACTCAGGAGGCTGAGGCAGGAGGATTGCTGTGAGTTTGAGGCCAGCCTGGGCTACACAGTGAGTTCCAGACCAGCCTGAGCTACCCACTACCCAGCAAGACCACTGTGGCCCTGCAGATGCAGAAGCAGGCTTCGGGGTGCAAGGCCTACAGGAATGGGACAGAGAGGCCAGGCACCTGCCCCCCAGAAAAATTCTGGGGACTAAGTCAAGGCTCCTTCACACAGAGCAACATCCTCAGCCCTTTCTTAATTTTTATTTTGAGACAGGATCTCGCTAAGTCACTAAGTTGCCAAGGTTGGGCTTGAATTTGCCATCTGGCAGGCCCCGCGTCCCAGAGTGTGTGTTTGTTTTTTTTAATGGGAGCAAGAGCATGAACAGTAGGAAAACAGGAGCAGGGGAACAATGCAGACGTCTCCGAGATAAACAGGTAAGAGAACATCCCAGCTCTGTTTCCCACAGACCTACCGTCTGGGCCAGGCTCCGGGACGGGGTAGTTCTCCTGGAAGAGACAAACAGCAAAGCCATCAGTGCTTCACAACTCGGCTGCACCCGCACTTCCCATTTTAAAAAATTAAAGTGAGCTTTCATTTAAAAATTTCTTCTCACCGGGCGTGGTGGCGCACGCCTGTAATCCCAGCACTCGGGAGGCTGAGGCAGGAAGATCGTTGCGAGTTCGAGACCAGCCTGGGCTACAAAGTGAGCTCAAGGCCAGCCTGAACTGCATAGCAAGACCCTGTCTCAAAAAGACTAAAAAAGAAAATAAAAATTTCCTCTCTGCAGGTGTGGTGGCACACGCCTGTGATCCTGAGGCAGAAGGGTCGCTGTGAGTTCCAGGCCAGCCTGGGTTACATAGTGAGTTCAAAACCAGCTTGGACTACACAGTAACCCCGTCTCAAACAACACAAAACGGATTACCCTCAGAACTCACACAAGCGCAGCACACACTGCTGCAGGTGTAGACGGGGCGGCTCAGTGACTGTGTGGCCTCCGCTGGCCAAGGCGGGGACCAGCCCAGCCTCGGTGCCCACCCTGCCCGCAGGCACACTGAGAACGCTCTCCTCGTCCCGGTGCTGCCGCACAGGGACAAAGTTCTGAAGCTGGTCGCTCCCTGGGACAACCACTGCGCTGGCGCCAGAGGTGCAATCTCAGGTCCTGGCTGACTCGAGCCACGGCCTCACCCCGCCCTCTTGCCCAGGACGCAGGAGCAAGCCCGCCAGATGCGCCAGGGCAAGAGGGACCTTGGACTGCCTGGCGTGCGGGGTTCCTGCACCCCGCAAAGGCACAGTATCTCTGGTGTGGGCCACGCCCGGGAAAGGCGGAGGGGGCTTCCCGCTATAGACCACCAGCGGTGGCAGGGTTCACTCACAAAGCTCCTTCCCGAGCCAAATGGCGGGGCAGTTCTGGCCACCAGGAGGCAGTCCGCCAGGCAGCCACAGCGCACTGCTCCCTGCGTGACTTTGCGGGCACGGAGGAGAGCGGCGAAGGGGTGGCGAGCGTCACAGGCCTCGAGGGCCGAGCCCGCCCAGAAGCCCAGGGCTGGACCCCCGGCGGGGACGCTTGGGGCTCCAGCAGGTGCGTCTGAGCCATGCTGGCTTCCACGGTCCCCGCCGCACCCCAGGATGCAGCGGTTCTCTCCTCCAGGGAGACACAGCGCCGTCACCCTGGCGAGCGGACGGCGAGCCCCATGCAGAGCGCTCCGGGAGGAGGCACCGCCCGAAGCGGCTGCTTCCAAGGCACCTGGCACTAACCCACCGCCTGCACAGCGCCCGCAGACGCTGCTCGCGCTGTCACGCTATCTTTTAAACTTTGAGACAGGGTCTTGTTAAGTTGCCCAGACTGGCCTTGAACTCTCGATCCTCCTGCCTCAGCCTCCCGATTAGCTGCAATTATAAGCACGCACCACTGTGCCCAGCCCAAAGACCAAGCCTGCCAGCTCTCCAGCACCAGGTACGGGGGCGTCAGACACACGTGGTGGCACCTGTTAAACAACTCTCCCCAAAAGAGTGCCTCCTGGGGACTGGCCCTCTCCACAGAGGAAGCACAGGGCTACCTGAACCCTTCCAATGGAAGAAAGCCCAAGCAGCTACGATTGCTGATGGTCCTGGACGGGCACTGAGCAACGCAGCCTCTGTGTTAGGTGCTGTGTGCTAAGTACTGTACTGGCACCATCTCATTTAATCCCCCTAACACCCCTAGGTTGCTACATCCTATGATCCCATTTGCCAGATGCTAAGCCCGAGGGACTGCAAGACCAGGCAAACTGCCCGAGGTACAGCTAAGGCAGTTAACGGTGGAGCTGCATCCAAAGGAGCCCACTTGGCTGCTGGGCCTGGTGGCATGTGCCTATGGTCCCAGCTGCTTGGGAGGCTGAGGCAGGAGGACTGCATGAGCCTGGGAGTTCAAAGCCAGGTTGCTAACATAGTAAGAGCCTATCTCCAAATAAATAAAAGAAAGAAAGAAAAGAAAAGAGAGGGAAGCTGGATATACAGGGAAAGCACTTGAGGAAGCCTGGCAAGCGTGAGGTTGTGAGTTCAATTCCCGGTACTGGGAAAAAAAAGAACAAAACTTTAATGATTCAAAGGTAGGAAAAAAAGAAAAGACCCCCATCTAGAAACGGCCACCATGTCGGACGTAGTAGTGCACACCTGTAATCCTGCAGGCCTGTAATCCTAGCACTTGGGAGGCTGAGGCAGGAGGATGGTTCTAAGTTTGAGACCAGGCCAGGCGTGGTGGCGCACTCCTGTAATCCCAGCACTGGGGAGGCTGAGGCAGGAGGATCACTGTGAGTTTGAAACCAGCCTGGGCTACAAAGTGAGCTCAAGGGTATGAACTACACAGCGAGACCCTGTCTCAAAAAGACAAACACAAAAAACTAAGTTTGAGACCAGCCTGGGCTACCGAGTGAGCTCAAGGGCAGCCTCAACTGCATAGTGAGACCCTGTCTCAAAAAAAAGACAAAAAAGAAATGGCCACCTTTAGGAGAGCTGCCACCAACACCCTCCTCAAAGAAGTTACCGGCCCCACACGTGCATTAGACTGAATACAGTTCTGCTGTACTGGGTGAAACTCGAAACCGAAAGTTAGTGGAGGCTGGAGCCCGAGGCCTGGACCCCGTCGTGCGCGCGGCCCTTCAGGGTCAGGCTCCGGGACGCACTGTCGCGCGGCCGCCTCCGTCCAGGCTCAGGGCAGGGCCAGGCGCGGGGAGCCCCGGGTCCCCTAGAGCACCGCCGCGACCTCGGATCCGAATCGCTCCGACCAGGCAGCGCGCCGCGCGGACACGAGAGGGCGCTGTGCCCACAGCCCGGCTTTTCCGGGGCTCCAGGGAGACCTGAAAACCGCACCCCTCCGCCTTCACCTCTCCCTCTCCTCGCCGCCCCTGGGCACCGCACGTCCGGCCGGCCGCCGCCTCCCCTCTCCGCCGGGGCGCGAGACACGGCCTGGCGCCGGGACCCCACGACGCCCGCCCCCTTGCTCGGCGCTGGCCGCGTGCTCTGCGGCTCCCGGGGGCGCGCGCCTTCCTTCAGCCTGCGCCCCGCTCCCGCCGCCCCCAGCTGGCCGGTGGCTCGGGGCCCGCGCATCCCCAGCAGGGCGAGGTCCTGGGTTCGGGGCCGCAGCACCCCTCGCCCGCTGCCCCAACCCCCTCGAGCGCCCCAGCTTTCGTGTTTTATTCGCACTACCGCCTTCTTCATTCCCAGGTCGGGTCCCTGAACAGGATTTCCTTCCCTGCGTGCCGGGAGGGAGCGGGTGGCGGGACCTGGGTAGCCTCGAGGGTCTGTCCGGCGCTCCGGCCCTCTCCCCCGACCCCACACACCGCTCCACCCCTCCAGCCGGGGCTCCAGCGCCTGCTCTGGAAGTGCTCTTCCTAAATGTTATCCGACTCCCAGACACACCCCGAGGAGCCCAAATGTGCACCTCCTGGCCGCAGCCTCGCGGCCGCTTTCCTCCCAGCCGGAGACCAAGTCCTCGCCCCCAGCACTTCTGGCCTGAGGCGCAGCTGGGCCGCAGCCCAGGAGAACCCCGGGAGGGCGCCTCCCCTGCGGCGGTCCTTAGGGCTCTGCGGCGCACTGCTGCCCCGGGCAGGTGCAACCTCAGTGCCCTCGGTCTCCTCTTTCAGATCACCAAGATCATCGCACAAGCCAGGGCTGACCCCAAAGAAACAGGCTCGCTCGCCTACAAAAGAAATAAAATCAAAGTCCTGTTTCCATGATTACATCACCGCGAGGGCCCCGCTCTGGACGACCCTGTCCTTGCATGCAAAGGGACTTTGTCCTCACACTGTACGGGGGAAGCTGTTTTCCTGTGGCTTTGGTGCCAACTTTAAGAAGATCTGAAGCTGGGCGCGGTAGCGCTCGCCTGTAATCCCAGTATGTGGGAGGCTGAGGCAGGAGGATCCTTTTGAGTTCAAGACCAGCCTGGGCTATAAAGTGAGTTCAAGGCCAGCTGGAACTGCATAGCAAGACCCTGTCTCAAAAAGACAAGAAAAAAAAAAGAGATCTGACTTCGCTTTAAAAACCTGGGATGGGGGCTGGGGATTTAGCTCAGCGGCAAAGCGCCTGCCTGGTAAGCGCAAGGTTGTGAGTTTGGTTCCTGGTACCAGAGAAAAACCAAAAAAATAAAAAATAAAAACCTGGGATGGCCGGACACGGTGGCGCATGCCTCTCATCCTAGTACTTGGGAGGCCGAGGCAGGAGGATCCTTGCGAATTCGAGACCAGCCTGGGCTACAAAGTGGGCTCAAGACCAGCCTGAACTGCACAGGGAGACCCTATCTCAAAAAAAAAAAAAAAAAGACAAAATAAAAAAGACTGGGATTTGGAAGGAAGTGAAGCAGAATTTCGGATTTGGAAGGAAATGAAGCAAGATTTCAGCAGTTTTTTGCTGTGTACTTGTTTTCTGAGACAGAGTCAGTCTTCCTACGTAGCTCAGGCTGGCCTGAACTGAACTCAGTATGCAGCCCAAGCCAGTCTTGAATTTGCAGGGGATTTTCCTGCTTTTGCCTCCCGAGTGCGGGGATCACAGCTGTGCACCACCATGCCAAGCTTCCAGCAGGGTTTTTAGCTTGCTTCTGTCAACTGTGAAGAGGGTAAAGCTGCTCCCACTGCCTTAGCAGGAGGGACAGTGGCAGGACAGAAAGGAGAGTGGTGTGGGAAGCCAGCTGCAGCCTGGCCCCAGGTCCCTGCGAACGGATGCCTTTCTGCCCCTTGCTCCTCACGCCAGGCCCCTGTGACCCTGACAGAGCAGGAGAGCCTATGTCAGCTCCCCTTCCCCTCCATTCTCCCTGAACTTGAGCCCGTGAAGGGCATCAGGCAGGTGGGAGGGAAAGCCAAAGGTTCCCATTGATCATTCTCTCCCAGTGGGCTTTGTTCTGCCCCAGGTCCTGGCACACGGGGTCAAAGTCAGGGCTTGGCCTGCTCTCAAAGCCCAGGGAGCTGGTCCTCTGCCAAGCCAGTTCCCTCCAGCCTTTGTTCTCCTGATAACAATCTTTCTAAAATGCAAATCT